GACGTAACCTACGCTCACTCTCACCATCCCGGCTATCTGCTATGGTTTCATCTTCGCTTCCTCCCCTTAAACAGTTAGCATCTTTTGATGCTAACAGTGCTACTGATACTTTCTGCTCCACTCTTACGTCTTGTTTTAGACACTGTCTGCCCCTTGTCTTCCAGACCAGTCCGTACCACCCCTTCTGCCCCTTGGCTGTCTGATCCACGAATATCGTTCTAAGCTCAAGGCTGCTGAGAGGGTGTGGAGCAAATCAAAATATCCTACTGACCTTAATATGTATCAGTCACTCCTCTCTTCCTTCTCTACTAATGTCTCCACTACTAAAAGGACATACTATCATAACAAAATTAACAATTCACCTAACTCGCTCCTTTGTCCTCCTCCTCCCCCTCCTTCATCAACTCTAACAGCTGACAACTTTGCCACGTTCTTCATTAATAAAATTAAAACCATCAGTGTACAATTTTCCACACCACAATCTGTCAAGCACATCTTACCAGCAAACATACACTTGTTCACTCTCTGAGGCAGAAGTCTCCAAACTCACCCTTTCTAATCATCCTACTACTTGTCCGCTTGATCCTATTCCATCTCATCTCCTTCAAGCCATTTCTCCTGCAGTTGTACCTGCACTCACTCACATCGTTAACACATCCCTTCACACTGGTGTTTTTCCCTCAGCATTTAGACAGGCTCATATAACCCCACTACTTAAGAAACCCACCCTTAACCCATCTCTTTTAGAGAACTACAGACCGGTTTCCCTTCTTCCTTTCATTGCAAAAACACTTGAACGAGCTGTGTTCAACCAAGTCTCTGCCTTTCTCACACAGAACAACCTCCTCGACAGCAACCAGTCTGGTTTCAGAAGTGGACATTCAACCGAGACTGCCTTGCTCTCAGTTGTTGAAGCCCTAAGACTGGCAAGAGTGGATTTCAAATCTTCAATACTTATCTTGCTGGATCTGTCGGCTGCTTTGACACGGTTAACCACCAGATCCTCCTGTCAACCCTATTGGCAAAGGACATCTCAGGAACCGCACTCCAGTGGTTTAAGTCTTACCTCTCAGTTAGGTCCTTCAAGGTATCTTGGAGAGGTGAACATCTAGCTGATCTACCGGGGTGCCTCAGGGCTCAGTTCTTGGACCACTTCTCTTCTCTGTCTACATGGCATCACTAGGTTCTGTCATTCAGAAACATGGCTTTTCATATCACTGCTATGCTGATGACACTCAACTCTACCTCTCATTCCATCCTGATGATCCGACGATAGCTGCTTGCATCTCAGCTTGTCTAACAGACATTTCTTGCTGGATGAAAGATCATCACCTTCAACTCATCCTTGCCAAGACAGAACTACTTGTGGTTCCATAAAACCCATCGTTTCATCACAATTTCACCATCCAGTTAGGCACATCAACCACAACTCCTTCAAAAACAGCCAGAAACCTTAGAGTTATGATTGATGATCAACTTTCTCAGACCACATTGCTAAAACTGTCCGGTCCTGCAGATTTGCTTTATTCAACATCAAGAAGGTCAGGCCCTTTCTTTCAGAACATGCTTCACAACTCCTTGTTTAAGCTCTTTTTCTATCCAGGCTGGATTATTGCAATGCTCTCTTGGCAGGTCTTCCAGCCAGTTCTATAAAACCTTTACAATTAATCCAGTATGTGGCAACAAGATTAATTTTGAATGAGCCAAAAAGAATGCACGTCACACCTCTGTTCATCAATTTGCACTGGCTACCAGTAGCTGCTCGCATCAAATTCAAGGCATTAATGTTTGCCTACAAAACCACCACTGGCTCTGCACCCCTTTACCTAAATTCATTACTTCAGAGTTATGTGCCCTCTAGAAGCTTGCGTTCTGCAAGTGAACGACGCTTTATTGTGCTTTATTATTCTAACTCTATTTATAAAAAATAATAAAAAACTAACACTAGCTTTTCTAATCGTTTTGTATTCTATCTATTTGTTTTCTTTTTATTTATTATACAATTATCAAAAGCAAAAAAGGGCAGTAACACTAGCTTGCTCTATTCTTTTTCTATTCTATCTGTTTTTCTTTTTATTTATTATATAATTTAAAAAACCTTGCTACGTGTACTGCATTAAGCTAACTGAGACTTGTTATAGCACTTGTATAACATTGCTCTTTTGTTGATTTTGATTGCTTCCATTGTCCTTATTTGTAAGTCGCTTTGGATAAAAGCGTCTGCTAAATGACTAAATGTACATGTAAACATACATACATACATATATATATATATATATATATATATATACACTGCCGTTCAAAATTTTGGGATCAGTTTGTACTTTATTTTAAAAGAAGTCTCTTCTGTTCATCATGACTGCATTTATTTGATCAGAAATACAGAAAAAAAACAGTAATATGTATTTGTGCAATTTAAAAAAAGTTTTCTATTTTAATATACTTTAAAATATAATTTATTCCTGTGATGCAAAGCTGAATTTTCAGCATCATTACTCCAGTGTCACATGATCCTTTAGAAAACATTCTGATATGCTGACTTATTATCCATGTTGGAAACAGTTTTCCTGCTTCAAATTTTTTTGGAACCTGTGATACTTTTTTCAGCATTCTTTGATTAATAAAAAGTTTTAAAAAACAGCATTTATTCTAAATAGAAATCTTTTGTAACAATATACAGTACTGTTCGTAATTTTATTATTTTTTTTTTTTTAAAGAAATGCTTTTATTCAGCAAGGATGTGTTAAATTGATAAAACGTTATAATAGACTGAAGATTTAAATGTATTCATCAAATAATCCTGAAAAAAGTATCACAGGTTCCAAAAAAATATTAAGCAGTTTTTAACACTGATAATAAATCAGCATATTAGAATGATTTCTGAAGGATCATGTGACACTGAATACTGCAGTAATGATGATGAAAAATCAGCTTTGCATCACAGAAATAAAATTTAAAGTATATTAAAATAGAAACCCATTGTATTAAATGATATTTTACAGCACAATTACTGTTTTTTCTGTATTTTTGGTTAAATAAATGCAGCCATGATGAACAGAAGAGACTTCTTTAAAACACATAAAAAAAAATTTACTGATCCTAAACTTTTAGGAAAAGTGATTTGGGATCATTCATTCATTGTTTTTTTTTAGGTGAGATCATGTTAATAGTAAACTACCATGGTATTACTAAGAAATATTTTGAGTACCACAGTACACTAATACTGTAATCATTCAGTACCTTTTTTGAGGAGGATGTGTTAAATTGATAAAACGTTATAATAGACTGAAGATTTAAATGTATTCATCAAATAATCCTGAAAAAAGTATCACAGGTTCCAAAAAAATATTAAGCAGTTTTTAACACTGATAATAAATCAGCATATTAGAATGATTTCTGAAGGATCATGTGACACTGAATACTGCAGTAATGATGATGAAAAATCAGCTTTGCATCACAGAAATAAAATTTAAAGTATATTAAAATAGAAACCCATTGTATTAAATGATATTTTACAGCACAATTACTGTTTTTTCTGTATTTTTGGTTAAATAAATGCAGCCATGATGAACAGAAGAGACTTCTTTAAAACACATTAAAAAAATGTACTGATCCTAAACTTTTAGGAAAAGTGATTTGGGATCATTCATTCATTGTTTTTTTTTTAGGTGAGATCATGTTAATAGTAAACTACCATGGTATTACTAAGAAATATTTTGAGTACCACAGTACACTAATACTGTAATCATTCAGTACCTTTTTTGAGATTAATAAATAAAAACAGTAACAAAATATACCACAGTGCTGGCATAATTTGGGCTGTTGACATGTGATACCCGGGTAGTGGTAGTAAATCTTCAGTAGCATTGATTTTCCATAATATTCATGCTCTTTTAACAGGCGCCAATTGTGTTTTTTGAAACACAACTGAAGCACCAAATGCATTATGGTATATTTGCCTCTGTGTGTGTAATGGACCATAAAAGCACCAACAAAAAGTATGTGCTTTTTATATGTACCATGGTGGTAACCATTTTAATTTCTCACAAAGTATAGGCTAATTCTCTTAAAACTGATGACTGCAGTGATGTAATTTGTTTGCATCAAATACTTTTGACATAATGCAGCATTTTGAACCAAGAAACTGCAGCTGAGCGTATTAACTTGTAAAAACATTTTCTTCTACATAATTTATTGCCTGAAGAACAAAGGGTCTTAAACTACAAGAATGAAAAGAGGACCCCCGTCACACTTCTCCTAATCTCATTCTGGTTTCCTAGTTGAATCCCATTCCAATACTGTTTTTTTTTTCTAGCCAAACATAAAAGTCAAGAAGAATTCTGTGATTTAGCATTCATTAAAACACATGGAAGCACAATATGACTTGTTTTAATATTTGAAATAATTTCTTTAGTTACAAGTATCTTACACGTTTCCATTGAACAAAGCCTTATGTTACAATGCTTCTGTAACCGGTTTTCATCATTACTATATGTGACTGAGAGAACTCACACACCAAAAAGCTCAGCATGTACAGTTTTGATATTTAACGGCAGCTCTTGATGTGTTACTAATTTGTTTGCATCAAATACTTTTGACATAATGCAGCATTTTGAACCAAGAAACTGCAGCTGAGCGTATTAACTTGTAAAAACATTTTCTTCTACATAATTTATTGCCTGAAGAACAAAGGGTCTTAAACTACAAGAATGAAAAGAGGACCCCCGTCACACTTCTCCTAATCTCATTCTGGTTTCCTAGTTGAATCCCATTCCAATACTGTTTTTTTTTTCTAGCCAAACATAAAAGTCAAGAAGAATTCTGTGATTTAGCATTCAAAACAAGTATTCATTAAAACACATGGAAGCACAATATGACTTGTTTTAATATTTGAAATAATTTCTTTAGTTACAAGTATCTTACACGTTTCCATTGAACAAAGCCTTATGTTACAATGCTTCTGTAACCGGTTTTCATCATTACTATTTGTGACTGAGAGAACTCGCACACCAAAAAGCTCAGCATGTACAGTTTTGATATTTAACGGCAGCTCTTGATGTGTTATGGTAGAAGCTTTGGTCCACACTGCTCAAGCTAACCTGCAAAGTATGACGCAAACGCGAACACTGAAGTGTTATATTCGGCACTGTGATCATGGGTGTGTTGTTGGGAGAGCTTGTTTCTCAGACATTACACAGCAAAACACAGTTTCTCACAGATACCACTTGGACTTTAGGGAGATCCAAAATTCACCCTTCAATCTGCTTCTGAAGGTCTGAAAGTGCAATATAGGCGTGTACGAGAGATGAGACCACAACATGTGAACGAATGAGCTTCCTCGTGACAGTTTCATTTGCGACATGTCCGATGAGGCGTCCGTTTCTTGGTCACCCCTGCTCGACTACAACGACTACGCTCATCCAGCCAGGGCAGGTCAAAGTTTCTGTTGAATTAAAAAATAAATAAATACATATGTACTGCAGTCAAATCAAGATTGACATTATTAGCAATATGAAAAACCTCTATTGAACTTACTGCCGTTTCAGACTGGGAAGAGGTCGTCCAAAAGCCACCACTGGTAGGAAGGGTGTCACCATAATAGACTCCACTGAGGACAGACACAGAAACAAGCACTTTAAAAGACTAGACCAAACACTTTTGAAGGCATACAGGAAAAAAGCCATCTGCTGACATACCATCCTCAGGGTCTGGATAGAAGGAGAGCCGCTCTGGTTCGCTCTCCTGGATGACCTTCCTTCTGTTCATCCTCTGCTGCAGGCGCTGAAACATCCTCTGCTCTCGAATACGCTGGATGTCCCACCTGAAAAAGAGAAATGAGATTAATAAACAGATTTGCAAATGCTCTAATCTATTGGATGCTATATAGAAGAACAAAAAACCAAGCATCACCTCTTCCTCCTCTTCTCATCCAGCTCAAGTTTTGAATGCCTCTTCAGAAAGACATCATCATCTAGACACTGCACAGAAGTATGAGCATTTAAATGCATCACAGGCTGAACAATTCATCGAAATAAAACCAAAATTGCAATATGGCTAAGTTGGAGAGTCTGGGACGATTATAAAATGGATTTGGGAACTCAACGTGCACAACCCAAACAGCACTTATAAACCAGTTGCTGTCAAAAGCTATCAAAAGAAACTGGGACAGGCATATATATTAGTATTGTAATTATACAGTTGTATAATCCACCAGCACAGTTTTTGGTCAAATTGTGCAGTCCTACAAACAAGCAGCACAAACCTGGAATCCTTTAGTGTTTTTTTTGTTTTTTTTAATGCAGCATTGCATCTTGGGGTGCTTACACGTCTCACTAACCTCAGGGATGTCCGACGCCTCTTTCTGCCCCAAAGGCTCTAAGATGCTCTCCCGCCATGAAGGGACTATATATGGTGATAAATTTGACAATCTGAAATTTTCCTTATAATTAATATATAATTAAAATCATTAACAGAGAAATTACTTAAATTTCTCCCAACCTGCAACTGTGTCCTCATGCACAGGTGAGGGGTGTCGCCATGGCGATGGAGGCAGCTGATGCCAGCGACAGAGGTACATCTCTGTGGTAGTCAGGTAGGGCAGGTCCAACGAATGCAATTCAGGCTCTGTGTCTTCCTGGGGTTCCTCCTTCTGAGCTGGGCCATCCTGTGGTGGTGGTGGTGACCTGGGCTGCCCACGTCGTGACCTACTCATCCGGGAGTCCTGGAAAAGAAACCTCCTTTAAGAGGGAGAAAAAATAGAACATATTTAAGTTTATCAGTTCTCAAAATTTCATTAGCTACAGCACATTAGTTTGAAATAATGGGGATAGCTTACCCACAAATGAAAATTCTGTCATCATTTACACACCCTCATGTAAAAAAAAAAAAAAAAAAATTATTTGGGAGATTTTTTTTTTTTGTCCACACAATGGAAGATAATATTCATCAAAATATCTTCTTTTGTGTTCCGCAGAAGAAAGTCAATCACACAGGTTTGGAATGACATGAGGGCAAGTTATCCTTGTAAATCTTTATATATTTCAGAGTAAAATTAATAATCATACCTTCTCAGGCTTTTTTCTCCTCTTCCAAAGTGCATTTGCTTTGGGGTTTGGACCCGCCCCTCAGATTGCTGGATGTCATCTGTGGCAGCAGCCTCAGGTTCCTTACGACGAGGCGTCTGAGAAGGACGGGATTCTGCACCCTCTTTTTTCACCATCTGCAGCCGATGGTCCATGCATTCAATTCGTGCCATTAGCTACAAACACACACCTGTGTTAGGCTGTGTATTAAACATTGGGTTCAGGTGAAGTGAAACAACAAAAAAAACAAGTGTTACAAAATAACAAGTGGGAAACTGTGAACACGCCCGCTTTAACATCAAATAGTCCCATCATCGAACCTTTTATCTCGTAAAAGGCAAAGAAAAAAGTGCAAAACTGTAAGCGTACCATCTCTTTTTCAGCTTTGAGGTCATCAATCTCTTTGCTCTTGTTGTGAAGTTGCTTCTGTTGCTTTTCAATCAATTCCAGTTGCAGCAGCAAGATCTGTCGGATGCAGCTGGTCTGCGTGTCCACAAGGCCGGAGCCTTTCCTCACATTCCGACGCTTCCCATCGGGACTATTCTCTGGCGATGGGACCCCCACGACCGCCCCCACTTGCCCTCCATCTCTCGGCTGATTGTTGCTATTTGATACCATGGGATCCATCTTCCCCACGTGGTTGTGACTGGCCTGACAAAACAGTGATTTGCTCTTGACCGGGGAACCTTCGGCCCCCATCTGCTTGGTTGACAGGAGTGCCAAGGCCCCCAGCGTCTCCCAGTTCTCCTCCTGCCCGAGGTTCCCTGCTGGAGATTGGTCAGGGCAGCTCAACATGTTCTGACGGCTGATATTTGCTTTGATGTTTTTGATTTACACTGTTCTGGATAGTGCTCAGCACATGGGTGGCGAAGTCACGGCTTTTCTTCTTCAGGCCGGCCAGGGATTCATGGGCTCCTGCTGGCTTCTTGCTGAGGCTTGTGTCCAGTCTGTGTCCTCCACTCGTGAACACAGTGGATCGCATAGTCATTGCGACTTACTCCAGTTGGAGATGTTTTACCAACACCCACCTCTATAGATGAAGAGGATTTGAGACAGGCTGAACGTGTGTCCTTGAGGCCCCTTTTCTGTAGCCATTCTGGGGGAACGGAACAAAATATTAGATTTTTATGGCAGAATTCGATCATTCATTTTTTCTCAGTAAGGCAAGAATTCTTATTTGACAAAAGAAATTGGTTGAAAAGCAAAATTGAAAGGTAGGCATACAATGACTGAAATAGGGCTGCTATGTTGCTTTAATAGTGTTCTGAGAACTTGAAAGCACACGAATCCAAGAGCAAAAATGTCATCTATAGCAACATTATGTACGGTCAGATTTCCAAAATAATGTGGCTACCCTAAGCTAACCTTCAGTACCCTTCCCATCTGTTGAGTGCATTGATACCCTTTACATTGCATGCATTATGTTTACTGTTTCAGGAAGGACATCGTCCGATCACTGTTTATATGCATGCAACTGGGAGTTTTTTGATCTACAGTGAAACTCCAGCCATGCACGAGCCATCGTCTGGGCACAGGCAGCGTCCACCATTTTAGATATACAGCAAAACAATTACAATCATTTTCAGCAGTTCGCTTCGTCTGCTCTTGTGGGACAATGACGCCATTTTAAGTCATGCAATCATGCTGCTTATATAAATACTGAATGAAGCATATCGCAACCACCGACGAACTTGTTCATCATTTTGCATCGGCATGTGATTTAAATTCTCCTGACCGAACTCACCTATCGGCTTCCTTTGGCCCACTTGCCGATATTTTTTTGAATCTGCACAGTGCGCACACGGCGCATGCGCGGTGCGTTTGGAAACTGATTGGACACATGCGGAACAATATTTCGTGGCGCGCGCGTTGGTCTTGAGGTTTGCATTAATGACATCATGCAGAGATGCACTGAAGATTATAGCATTGAAGTTTTAAAGCATGGCAACATATCGGAGTAAATGCAAATATGATTAAAATCATGAACCGAGAACTTATAAAGAATTCACAGACGAATATAGCTAACGCATTCGTTTATTAGCTCAACTTTAATAGTTCTAACAGTTTTACAAACAGGCTACATAAATATACAGTACTTGATTAAATAAATAGCGAGGAGTTCTGGTGGCAGCTTTGCTGGCAATGCATTCTGGCAGACAGCCATGCTAACATTCACTACTGGGTGTTCAGACAAACTTGGCACTAGAAGAAACTTGTTAGATGCATGCAGTAATTACTATTTAAATCCAAAACATACTTTTGCAAAACGTACACATATGTTGTCTGTTATAGTATTGCATGTTTCAGTATTTTTACAATATTTGTGTGATTTTTCTCAAAACAAGAAAAAACCTTGCCAACCTGTAAAATTAATGTAAAAAAATAAATACATGTAATTAAAACACATTATTTTAAAAGAAAAGTCTTGTCTTGTTTATATATATATATATATACATATAATTTTTGTAGCCCTTTTTCAGTTCAGTCAGTTTATAAATACAAAATATGTCCAGTCTGTAAATGTGAACACATCATTTGGTGCCACTCCAGATGTCGCATCTGCTGTTGTTCTGTTGTTTATTCTTTTTTTAGAAGGGGAACTGCGAGTTTGACACTCTGAGTGCAAAACTGAACTGTAATCATCTTTCTGCTCCACTAGAGTGCACTCTTTGCCAGGTTTATCCTGTTCTCTTTCACAGAACTACAAGCATGTTATACTGAACGCATAGGCTACATGCGGGGCTCTACTTGATAACATGCAAACAGTAAGATTATAATAATTTTTTTTTTTTAGATAAGGTGTACAGTTTGGTAACAGTGTTAATAAATGATCTGTTTTTGCCTTGTAAAACAATGTTAATTTGTAACTTCCCACAAGGTAATTAAGTAAATATGTGAGTGGATGAGATTCCAGAAAGAGCAGCTACTGTATATCATGATAAGATCGATTGTATACTGCTATATCATGCAAAACATGCCAGATCAAGGCCAGTAGGCCCATGTGATATATATATATATATGCCTCGACTACGAACTACACAGAGAAACATGACTAATGGATTTTAGATAAGGTGTACAGTTTGGTAACAGTGTTAATAAATGATCTGTTTTTGCCTTGTAAAACAATGTTAATTTGTAACTTCCCACAAGGTAATTAAGTAAATATGTGAGTGGATGAGATTCCAGAAAGAGCAGCTACTGTATATCATGATAAGATCGATTGTATACTGCTATATCATGCAAAACATGCCAGATCAAGGCCAGTAGGCCCATGTGATATATATATATGCCTCGACTACGAACTACACAGAGAAACATGACTAATGGATTTCTATAGATTACTATTCAGAATTTGATTTCTTAATGTTTGATTTATAAAAGTAATAAAAAAAAAGATCTCTTCTCATTCTTAAAGCTGCAGTCCGTCACTTTTTTTGTGTTCAAAATGTACAGCTTTAACTTTTCCCAGCTTTACAACCGAGTCAACTACCCGTGGTGTGAGTTTCCAAGTCCTTCTGTTTGTGGGGGAAAAAATTAAACTTTTCATATATGCTTTCTGTCCTAATCACGTACAGGAAAATTTTTTTATTTTTTATATAAAAAAATATTAAAAAAAAAAAAAAAAAAATTATTTGGGAGATTTTTTTTTTTTGTCCACACAATGGAAGATAATATTCATCAAAATATCTTCTTTTGTGTTCCGCAGAAGAAAGTCAATCACACAGGTTTGGAACAACATGAGGGCAAGGTATCCTTGTAAATCTTTATATATTTCAGAGTAAAATTAATAATCATACCTTCTCAGGCTTTTTTCTCCTCTTCCAAAGTGCATTTGCTTTGGGGTTTGGACCCGCCCCTCAGATTGCTGGATGTCATCTGTGGCAGCAGCCTCAGGTTCCTTACGACGAGGCGTCTGAGAAGGACGGGATTCTGCACCCTCTTTTTTCACCATCTGCAGCCGATGCTCCATGCATTCAATTCGGGCCATTAGCTACAAACACACACCTGTGTTAGGCTGTGTATTAAACATTGGGTTCAGGTGAAGTGAAACAACAAAAAAAACAAGTGTTACAAAATAACAAGTGGGAAACTGTGAACACGCCCGCTTTAACATCAAATAGTCCCATCATCGAACCTTTTATCTCGTAAAAGGCAAAGAAAAAAGTGCAAAACTGTAAGCGTACCATCTCTTTTTCAGCTTTGAGGTCATCAATCTCTTTGCTCTTGTTGTGAAGTTGCTTCTGTTGCTTTTCAATCAATTCCAGTTGCAGCAGCAAGATCTGTCGGATGCAGCTGGTCTGCGTGTCCACGAGGCCAGAGCCTTTCCTCATGTTACGACGCTTCCCATCGGGACTGTTCTCCGGCGAGGGGACCCCCACGACCACCCCCACTTCTCTCTGCTGATTGCTGCCATTTGATACCATGGGATCCATCTTCCCCACGTGGTTTTGACTGGCCTGACAAAACAGTGATTTGCTCTTGACCGGGGAACCTTCGGCCCCCATCTGCTTGGTTGACAGGAGTGCCAAGGCCCCCAGCGTCTCCCAGTTCTCCTCCTGCCCGAGGTTCCCTGCTGGAGATTGGTCAGGGCAGCTCAACACGTTCTGACGGCTGATATTTGCTTTGATGTTTTTGATTTACACTGTTCTGGATAGTGCTCAGCACATGGGTGGCGAAGTCACGGCTTTTCTTCTTCAGGCCGGCCAGGGATTCATGGGCTCCTGCTGGCTTCTTGCTGAGGCTTGTGTCCAGTCTGTGTCCTCCACTCGTGAACACAGTGGATCGCATAGTCATTGCGACTTACTCCAGTTGGAGATGTTTTACCAACACCCACCTCTATAGATGAAGAGGATTTGAGACAGGCTGAACGTGTGTCCTTGAGGCCCCTTTTCTGTAGCCATTCTGGGGGAACGGAACAAAATATTAGATTTTTATGGCAGAATTCGATCATTCATTTTTTCTCAGTAAGGCAAGAATTCTTATTTGACAAAAGAAATTGGTTGAAAAGCAAAATTGAAAGGTAGGCATACAATGACTGAAATAGGGCTGCTATGTTGCTTTAATAGTGTTCTGAGAACTTGAAAGCACACGAATCCAAGAGCAAAAATGTCATCTATAGCAACATTATGTACGGTCAGATTTCCAAAATAATGTGGCTACCCTAAGCTAACCTTCAGTACCCTTCCCATCTGTTGAGTGCATTGATACCCTTTACATTGCATGCATTATGTTTACTGTTTCAGGAAGGACATCGTCCGATCACTGTTTATATGCATGCAACTGGGAGTTTTTTGATCTACAGTGAAACTCCAGCCATGCACGAGCCATCGTCTGGGCACAGGCAGCGTCCACCATTTTAGATATACAGCAAAACAATTACAATCATTTTCAGCAGTTCGCTTCGTCTGCTCTTGTGGGACAATGACGCCATTTTAAGTCATGCAATCATGCTGCTTATATAAATACTGAATGAAGCATATCGCAACCACCGACGAACTTGTTCATCATTTTGCATCGGCATGTGATTTAAATTCTCCTGACCGAACTCACCTATCGGCTTCCTTTGGCCCACTTGCCGATATTTTTTTGAATCTGCACAGTGCGCACACGGCGCATGCGCGGTGCGTTTGGAAACTGATTGGACACATGCGGAACAATATTTCGTGGCGCGCGCGTTGGTCTTGAGGTTTGCATTAATGACATCATGCAGAGATGCACTGAAGATTATAGCATTGAAGTTTTAAAGCATGGCAACATATCGGAGTAAATGCAAATATGATTAAAATCATGAACCGAGAACTTATAAAGAATTCACAGACGAATATAGCTAACGCATTCGTTTATTAGCTCAACTTTAATAGTTCTAACAGTTTTACAAACAGGCTACATAAATATACAGTACTTGATT